CTCTCTCTCTCTCTCTCTCTCTCTCTCTCTCTCTCTCTTTTTTAAGATTTATTTATTTATTTATTTATTTATTTGAGTACATAGTCGCTGTCTTCAGACACACCAGAAGAGGGCATTGGATCCCACTATAGATGGTTGTGAGCCAGTATGTGTTTGCTGGGAATTTAATTCAGGACCTTTGGAAAAGTACTCAGAGCTCTTAACCGGTGAGCCATCTCTCTAGCCCTGGCAATCTCTTTTTGATGTACAGGTCTGCTCTGGCTCTCTGGCCCGCTCTGCTTGTGGCAGCAGGAACCATGGGAGCCAAGGCCTGCAGAGCTCTAGTCTGGAGCTCACGCTAGGGCAGAACACAAACTACCCACTTAAAGCCACTGCCATTTTGAAGATCTTCATTCCATCTCTTGCCTGAGCTTCACAGACACAGGCGTTCATGCAGCATGGGAGGGAGGTGCAGGGCTCACAGAGCCGTGAGCATGACTCAGACAGAGCACTCAGTTGCTGCGGCCTAGGCCTTCCTTACCTTGTTGAGATATTCCCGAGCCTCCTCTCCATTCCCACTGTGATAGTGACGGATTCCCTGAAGCAAGTAGAGTCTTAAAAACAACACCTTCTCTTTCCCACAATTTCCCTGAAATTATTGGGAGAAAAAGAATAAGCAGTCTTATTTCTAATTAAAGGGTCACGTGGTCACTGCTGTAACTGTGCCGTGTCTCCACAGGAGCAAGGTGGCAGCACTAGAATGCCCAGGGCACCCCTGCTGTCATCGGGACGACTTCTAAGCAGTATCTCTACTACATGGAAGGGATCAGTCAGGACACTGACTCCGGCCACCACGGGCCATGACTAAGTCATGCTTCTCTCTTGGTCAGACTGATTCAGAGTATCAGTATACAATTACCAAACTCTGTCTTTAAAAACCACCACAGAAGCTGGCCAGTAGTGGCACACGCCTTTAATCCCAGCACTTGGGAGGCAGAGGCAGGTGGATTTCTGAGTTCGAGGCCAGCCTGGTCTACAGAGTGAGTTCCAGGACAGCCAGGGCTACACAGAGAAACCCTGTCTCGAAAAACCAAAAAAAAAAAAAAAAAAAAACCAAAAACCAAAAAACCAAAAAACCAAAAAAACCAAAACCAAAAACCCCAAACCACCACAGAAGCAGCAAGACTAAACTGACCATGGTGGTATATACTATAACCCCAGCACTCCAGCAGCTGAAGCAAGAGGATTAAGAATTCAGGAACTCGGGCTGGAGAGATGGCTCAGTGGTTAAGAGCACTGACTGCAATTCCAGAGGTCCTGAGTTCAAATCCCAGCAACCACATGGTGGCTCACAACCATCTGTAATGAGATCTGATGCCCTCTTCTGGTGTGTCTGAAGACAGCTACAGTGTATTCATATATAATAAATAAATAAAATCTTAAAAAAAAAAAAAAAAAAGAATTCAGGAACTCACACACACAAAACAAACAAAAAAACCAACTAACCAACCAAACAAACAAACAAAAAGAATTCATGAACAGCCTGGGTTACATGAGACTGTCTCAAACAAAACCAAAAACCAACCAACCAAACAAACAAACAAAAACCACAACAACAAAGAAACAAAACACAACAAAAGCCCAGCCAGACTCCTAAAACTCTTAATACCTGCTCAGGTTTACAAAGAGGAACTATATGCGGCTGCCCAGATGAACCACCCCTGGCAGCAGTTCCCTCATCTAGGCAGATGTGCCCCAGAAGTGGGCTGAGACAACCAATCACAGTGACATACTTTTATGTGGACCAGTCTCTGGTGATTCTCTCCATAACAGTTTTTAAAGCACTTCTGGGCCAAGTTCAGCTTTTTCTCTGCATCATCAAGGCATTCGAGTTGTTCCAGACGGAAGTAGCACCACACGATGTCCAGCTGGAGGACTGCATAGTTGTCCACAGTATCCAGCAGCTCTTTGCACTCACTACAAGAGAAGGAAGCTGTCATGGCTGAGCCCTTCAGCTCTTCAGGGGTCCCTGGAAAGCCTTTTAGCTCTTGGTGTGTTTCTAGGATTAACTAACAGGGCCTTTATTTACAATATGGATCCTCTGAATGGATAAAAAGGAAGTAGGGTCCTCAACAGCAGCATGGTGGCATCTGGGCCAGGACACAGTGGCTTCCAACCCTGGATGTGAATTACAATAACCAAGCCACAACAGTCTTCCTCTGGGGATACTGATGCTGAGGACCTAATTAGGGCAACAGCAACAAAGCTCTCCATGACAGGAGCTGGATGTCTTATTGCTAAAATCTCCCCAAGAGATTCTAACATGCATAAAAGGTTGACAAATGGCTTTAAAGACAACCTGAAACCTGCAACTTCCCAAGAATGCCCCAGCTGATGGCAGTTCTGACAAGACATTCATGCTCAGGGACTTTCTCACTGGGAGAACATACTGGAAAACACCAGGCTAAATGCCCAGCTGATTCATGAGGGTCCATGAACAGGCTGAGCCAGACACAGGGAAAGGAATGAAGACACAATTCATGAATTATCTATTTGTACTTTATGATAATACTCAATGCATAGTACAGACCTAGTCCTCAAGACAGAAAAATATCTGCAACCACAGGCCACACAGATAACTCCAAAGCTTTGTCCACCTACTTCCAATGGGATGCTGTTAAATATAAGCCTTTTTTTGGCCTTGGCTACCAAGACATGTTCATCCAAAAGCCTAATGAAATAGACTTTGTCATCACCCCACAAGACTGCACACAGTCCAATGGGGGCAAGGACATAGAGGATGGTGGCTTTGGATGCTTTCTTCCCTGCCTCTTCTAGCATTCCTATTAGTCATTAATATCTGACAACACACATTCCATGCTGCTACACACACACACAGAAACAGAGGCAGAGGCAGAGACAAAGAGAGAGTGGGGGCTGGGGGAGGGGTAGGCCCAGGAAAAGAACATCTTCAACACAGCCTGAAAACTTGACTTGAGAAGAGGCAGGAAGGCTGAGGTGGAAATCTGCTCTTACATCAAGGGAGATGCCCTGATCTGTACCCTGACAGGCTGATTCACTCATAGAATGGAATGGGCACTCTGCACCACATTGACTTCTGAGGCCTATGAAAGGCTCTTTCAATACCTGCAGGGCAAGCAACAATAAGGACAGAAATGACCCAGAACTGAATCATGTGTGGCCAGAACACAAAACTAAAACTATATCAAAACCCAGGTTTCCTATTAAAGAAGTATGTTTTACTCCATTACTTTCAAAAATAAAATAAAATAAAATAAAATAAAATAAAATAAAATAAAATAAAGCTGGCATGATGGCACATGCCTTTAATCTCAGCACACAGGAGACCGAGGCAGGCAGATCTTGGAGTCTGAGGCCAACCTGGTCTGCCTAGAGTTCCAAAATAACTAGGACTACCAGCCAAGAGTCTGTCTCAAAAAAAGAAAGAAAGAGAGGAAGGAAGGAAGGAAGGAAGGAAGGAAGGAAGGAAGGAAGGAAGG